TCTTCCCCGGGCGCTGTGGGAAGCCCGTGCCGCAGCCGTGCGGAGCTGCTGCTCCGGGCCGCGTGCGTGCCGCGCTCGTCGGCCCTGTCCGTGATGGAGAAGGGGGTGGATTGGCCTCGAGGCGATGGGCAGAGCATGGGGAGGCAATTGGGCTTCTCGTGGCCGGGGAATGCCGGGAGAGAGGCTTTTGTAGGCACTTCTTGGCACCTGGAAGTGCTGCCCTGCCCGGCGCGTCCCCTTTCGCGCCGTCCTGCCTGTCTGGTGTGGGATGTCTGTGGGCTGGGGATTTAGGACGAGCCTTTGAGTCACCGGCAGAACCTAGGGCAGGGCTGGGAGGTCAACTCGAGTTTCTGGATTTTCAGTCTGCTGTTGCATCCACAGCTCTCGTCTTCCTCTTCCCCCTTTCCGCCAGTCGCTCCGTCCTTGTTTCCCCCTTGCCTTTGGCGCTGCTCGCTGGCGTTTGCCGAGCATCACCGGAGGAGCCGGCGCTTCCCGGGGGTTGCTGCCGGTGGGGCGGAGCGGTGCAGCTCTCCCAGCAGGATTAATCAGTAACTCAGCTGCTTTCTTGTGGGTGCCTGTGCAAACAGGGCAGAAGGTCTCAGCTCCAGGCTGGTCCCATCCGTGGGGCTGCAAGGGGCTCTCATCCGGCAGCAAGGCCACCACGATGTCCATGGCAGCACGATTGCCAGCTCCTTTGGCTGCACGGCTCCAAACCTGGTCCTCTCCCTTCAGTTCTTTGCCCTTCACTTGCCCGCGTTGCTCTGAGCACGGTGGAGATGGTCTCTGGGAAGGGGCTGAGGGTGGCGGGAGCTGACAGGGTGTGCAGAAGCAGCGGGAGCTCCTCAGGGTTCACCTGGGAGTTAAATCAGCTGAGAACCTCTTAGCTTTAGCCAGGAGAAGGGAGAGGTCTCTTTGGAGGATGCTAGCCCTGGTGCTCCTGGCTTGGAGGGCTACTCTGGGTGTTGCTGTGAGTTCTTGAGCTTCAAAGGCCCCTGGGTGCTTCTGTGACTCTGCATCACAGAAACTCTGTCTGCTCCAGTAAGGGCAGGGTGTTGCGGGGGTTAAAATTGGTTTCTCTTTCACAGGCATCCTCTTGGTAGCCCCAGTTCAGAGCCGAGAGCCCCGGGATCCGCGGAGGCACCGTCCCTGCCCGCTGCGGTCGGCTCTGCCCTCCAGGCGGGTGCATGTGTCCATCGCCTGGGCGAAGCGGACAGGTGGGTCGTGTCCAGGCGGCTGTTCCTGCTGCTTTCCGAGCCCATCCCCTGTGGGTGTGCCAGAAATGGGGGCACGAGCCTGCGGGAAGAGCCAGAGGGAACGCGCCGTGGGCCTTTGACCTCGGCAGATGCCAGCTCTGATTGCTTGGGCGGGCAGGGAGCGCGTGGTGCTGTATAAAAGCCCTCGAGGAGACCTTGCTCCGGCAGTGCGAGCTGGGCTCTCCGGAGGGATGGCTGCTCCCAAGGAGGCTGAGATGGGGGGCACGGAGCTGGCCGTCACCTCCTGCCCTGACGCGGCTCCCTCCCCAGGTACCATGTCCACGCGGCGGCTCCGCAGCGAGGACTACAACGACTACAGCTCCACGGACGTCACACCAGAGGGGAGCCCGCCGGGGGGCATGAATGGTTTTGGCCATCCTGAGTCCTACCAGCGCTTTGGGGAGACCAGCGGGACGACGTGAGTGCCTCTTCCCTCCCCGATGGAGCGGTGGTTTGTGTGGCTCGTGGGGAGGGGGGCAGCGGGAGGAGGAGATGGGGACAGTGCTGTGCTCCTGTGACACGTGCTGGGACACAACGGAGCTGTGTTTGAGTGGGGAATCCCTCTGTGGGAGCAGAGCCCTGCGCACATCTCGGGGGCAGAGCTGCTCTCTGGAGCATGGCCACGCTGGCCTGGGGGCTTCCTCGCACCCCATTCAAACTGAAGGTCAGACCAGGCTTACTTGATACCAAAACTGTACTGGGTGATAAAATTTGAGGTGTCTCTTACCCCACTGGGCTGGGATAGCATCTCCTGAGCTCTACCAGAGGATGCTGATGTCTCTGCTCTGAGGAGCCTTGATGTTTCGGCCATTTGACCCAAGGAATTTCTGATCATGCAGCTGAGCTGAGCTCCCATTGGATTTTGCCTAGAAGCAAATACTCGGCCAAGAGCGGTCTGCTTTGTCTTTGCCTGTGGTTCTCCCTGGCTCCTACACAGAGCCCAGCTGGATTCAGCAGAGGTGGCCTCGGCCTCTGGATGCATCGGCCACAGCTGTGTGTAGACTGAGACTGTATGGTCTCCTGCTGATGCTTGTGATGATCTTCTCATCTTCCCTCTCTCAGATGGTACCAGACCTTGATCCACCTCTTGAAGGGGAATCTCGGCACAGGCCTGCTGGGGCTGCCCCTGGCCGTGAAGAACGCGGGCATCTTGGTAAGGAGTCCAGCTCGCGCTGCCGGTGTTGTGCCTCATCCCTCCCGAGATGCCTCCTGCCACACATCGGCTTGCAAGCGTTCTCACCCTGGACTCTTACTAGTCTCGTTTCCTGCTATGACCGTGCTGCTCGCTGCTGTATCGCGTTAGCTGATGTAGATAAGTTCAGCATGTGTGACTGGGCTGTGGTTTTCCTCTGCTTGGAGTCGAGCAGGGTGCTGGGCTTTGCTTCCATGCTGAGCTGAGTGTTGCTCCTGTGGTGTCAGTCCTCTTCTCGCTGGTGGCGGAATGGTCCGTTCTGTGCTCAGATGGTATCTTTGCTCCCTGCTCCTGTGGGCGGCAGGTTCCACCTTGGTATGTCCCTGGCCTGTCTGTGCCGAGTACACTGTGTGACCGGCGCAGCTTCCAGGAACTGAGCACGCATCTGATGAGCCCTGCAGATCATCGCTGAAGTCCTACAGAGTGAGAACACAGTGTTTCCCTCTGCGTGGTTTCACCTGGGCTGAGCCAGCCTTGCAGGTCTGAGTCTTGGCCAAGATTCCTGGACGCGATGCAGCCTGAGGGCTGCATGTGTCAGTCAAACATAGCAGCCCTGGGACACTGTCACTCCTCTGTGCTGCTTTTGCCATGGTGCTCAGCTCCTCGGTGGCTGCAGCATGCCCCAGTGCAGGCTTGCTGATGTGAGAGGGGCAGCTCACTGCTCTTCTCTGGATTTCTTTGCTCAGGAGTGTAGCGTTCTCATTCTTCAGGTTACAAAAAGAAAATTTCCTTCCTCTCACCACACTATGACCTCCTACCTGGCACATGTATAATAATGAAGTGCAAGATGGAAAGCTTAAAAAGCAACCCTTAAAATACTTTCCTATGGCCAAACTGCCCCAACTTGCTTGCTTTGCATCATTCCTGCCAAGTTCATGACTTTTCTGTAGGGTTTATTTGGTGCTGGGTTGGGCTGGGTCCGAGGGATGAGCACTGGAGCTCCTGTTGGCTCTGCAGTGGCCTTTCACTCGAGTCTCCCGGGCTCAGGTACTAAGTTATTTGGTTTTTTTGTGAGTAAAGCCCATCCTGCAGCTCTGGCTTTGGCCATCAGAGTGCAGCCTTCCCTCTCTCTTTCTGTGCAGTTAGGGCCTCTGAGCCTGTTCGTGATGGGAGTCGTCGCTGTGCACTGCATGAGCATCCTGGTGAAATGTGCTCATCACTTCTGCTACAGGTAAGGAGCAGCCCTAGTATTCCACACTGCTCCCTGCTCCCTGTGCAGCGTCTGGAGCAGCCTGTCACCCAGCGCCCTGGCCTGACCCCGTGCCGGGCTCTGAGCTGCTTCCCACCTTTGCCCTAGGATGCAGAAGGGCAATATTGAACCTTGTCCCCAGCGAAGCAGGGCTGCGTTACCTGGCTCTGCTGGAAACCCTCCTCTGCTGCCCGGTAGCAGTTCTTGTTTTGCAGCGGTCTTGAAACCCCCCGTGCTCTTCTCTGCAACGGAGAAGAGCCAAGCAGAGCCCTGGGAGCTCCCCTGGCTGCTGGAAGGAGCCAGGACTTCTGGCCCTCCAGCTTGGAGGTGCTTCCAGGCCTTCCCATCATTAAGTGCATACCCGAGGGTTGGTAGGGCAGTTCCCAAGCTCACAGAATGCCTGTCTGGGGTAAATGGGCTAGTGTCACAGGAGCTGCTTCTGGACTTTTTCGCAGAAACACTTTTTTCTTTTGATGTTCTTTTAATGGCATACCTTTTGCCTTGGAGACCAACAAATGGGGTCAACATAACATCTTTTTCTTTCTCTCTTCTCTGGACAGATTCCAGAAGCAGTTTGTGGACTACGGGGGTGCCGTGATGTATGGCCTGGAGTCAACTCCTAGTGCTTGGCTTCGGACACATGCCATCTGGGGAAGGTACCCGTCTCCTCTCCTGCTGGAGGGGAGGCCTTTCTTTAAACCTAGAGACAGCCACAGCCGAGGTGCAAGAGCTAGCTGGTCGCTGAACAGTGTTGATATTATAAGATCATAAGATATATAAAATACCTTCCAGAGACTGTAACACTGGGAAGTAGTCCTATCCTGAATAGATTGAATTCCTACAGAATATCCCATGCAAATGTGACTTAGGGAATGTGTCCTGTCTTTAGAGTTATACTAAAGAAGTGGGAGAAAAGAGCCTTGTCTGCAGCATAAGGAAGGTAAATAATGTGTGCTGCAGTGGTGGTCCATCTTCTTGTTAATGACTGAGCACTGACATTAACAGCTGCTTCAGAGGTGCTTCCAGCCTTATGAACAGAGGCATGTCAGATGCTGAAAACATCCTACTTATTCCTGTGCCCGGGGGGTGTGATAATGGTTCAGCTGCAGAGTGGAGATTATAAACCCAAGGGGGGCAGTTAGCAAGGCCTCTCAATCTGGAGACTTCCCTGCTGAGGCTGGTCCTGGTCCTGCCCAGGGTTTAGGAGAGGAGAGCGGAGAACCTGAGGTCTGTGACTTGGATGGAGGTGCAAAGCCCTTCCTGAGCGTTGAAGGTGGCCTGGGTATGCTCTGGCTTGCATATATCATCCCCAAAGGGAAGGAACTTTGCAGTGTTTGAGCCTAATCTCCAGGCTCAAAGGGTACAGGCCAGGCAAAGTCCAGTCTTATCTAGTGGCCTTTCTAATAAACAATCTTTTTTCTTCCTAGGCGTGTAGTGGGACTTTTCCTGATCCTCACTCAGCTGGGTTTCTGCTGCGTATACTTCGTCTTTCTAGCTGATAATCTGAAACAGGTTAGACTTACCCCTTCTTTTTGTAAACAAGAGAAAGGCAGGAGGGAAGAAGCCCTTTGATTTGGGAGGGGGTGTGTGAAGAAGCCCAGTGCTGTTACAGCCATGTTCTTTGGAGAAAGCCCCTTTTCCATAACTCATGTTTCCCTGGAACATATAACTTGTCTGCCCAATTATGTTTCTCTGAAAGGCCTAACTCCTCTGCCCAATTATTTTATATCACTTTTCTTGTTAAGGTGGCCAGAGAGGACAGGTTTGCTCCAGAAAATTCCTGCGAGCTTCTTTTGCGTAGAGGAGCATTAGACCTAGGTGAACAGAGGCCAAGTGTTGTAGAAGGCATGGAGGAATGAGGTCAACACAGAGAGATTGCTCCTTTGATGACCTGCCTGGCTCGATCGATTGGTTTATTGATGCTGTTTGTAGACGATAATGACTCCTGGGACCTGGGATGACTTTTCCCCTCCCTTTTTTGGACCCGTGTACATTCTGGTTTCTTGCCTCATCCTGTGGCAGTGGTTCTGCAGCTTAATTACATGTTGCACAGAGGAGCTTCCTTCTGCTAGGCATCAGTAGGAAATAAACAGAAACAGTTTAACTGTATGTAGCTTACTTCTTGAGCTATAAAAAACTGAGAATAAGAAGTCCCTGTTCTCAGGTTCTGCACAGCTCACAGCCTCACAGATCTGCTCAGCAGCAGTTCAGTCGCACCCACCGTGGCAATAGCCAGATCTTCCCTGCTCATTCACTGCTAGAGCTAAGGGCCTTTTGCTGAACTGCTGTGGTTGGAAGAATAATTGGCTGCTGCATTTTTCTGGAGCAGGAAGTTGGCTCCAAGGCTGAGCTTTTGTGAGGAGGGAGCAGGATTTTGTTTACTGCCCAAGCTTTAGGGAAAACTTCCTGGAAAGGAAAATTTGGACTGTTTAACTTCAGGCTCGTGCTGTGTATGACAAGAGAGCAGGCAGGATGGATGGATCCCTTTTTCAGGAGGGGATGGTGCTTTTTCTGGCTCACAGAGGGCTCTTGTGATCCTGTGTGAAGCCGTTTGGGGCTGGTGGGCTCCCACGCGGGCAGTGCAAGAGGGAGGCTCACGTAGACACAGGTAACAGTGAAGCTCAGAGGTGGCTTCTCGGAGACCCCCCGGGCGTGTGGGCTTCTCCACGCAACTCCTCTTCAAATGGCTGTGGTGCTCTGGAAGCCCGTGGGCAGAGGATGAAAGGGAAGCTCTGCTGCACTGGGCAGGCAGCAGCCGCCCTTCGGCTTCCCTTCATCTCGCCTTGTGGGATTGCTGGTGGGGTGAACGTGTGAGCGCTGAGGATCCGATGCCAAACGCCCCCGCGCCGAGGTGCTTGTGTTGGGGGGCTGTGAAGCAGCCCCCGTGGCTGCTGTCAGTGGGGTGGCTTTGGAGGCGAGTCCTGCAGGTCCTGCGAGCAGGCGTCGCTCGTGGGTGTTGCTTTGGGGCTGGGCTGCATCCCTCGGAGCGGCCAGGGGGGCAGGTGGTTATTGCCACTGGGATCTGATGAGTTCCTCCCACGGGCCTCTCTGTGGCCTTGAGACAACCAGGGAGGTGGGTGCTGGCTGGCAGTTTGATGTGCTGAGTGCCAGTGGGAGTGAGGAGGCTGAAAATATCCTCAACTGGGTCTTGCTCACATCCCTGCTAGATTTTTTTCCCTCTGATGGGGTGGGGGGAAGCATCAGTTTGAGGTATTTGTAAAGCCAGACAAAGACATTGAGGCCATAAGAGCTTCAGGAGCGGGGAAGGGGAGCCAGAGCATCTTCTGCGGAGGGCAAGTTGAATTCCTGGGGGCTTGCAGCCCTTGTGTGGTCTCCTATTACTTGAAAGAGGCCTCTGTTTCCTCAGGGCAGAAAAAGGTGCCTTTGCAGGGGCTGTTTTATCTTTGCAGCAGCCTTCTCCATGCTGCTCCGAGAGCAGGAGCGAGCCTGAGGCAAGGGCCAGTCGGGTGCACGTACCCAAGGCTGGGCTGCTGCTGCTGCCCTGAGCCCTGCCAGCAGCCTCTTGCTGCTCCTCCAAAAGGGGCTTCTTTCTACAGAGACCACTCTTGGTGCTGAGCACTCTTGGAGGTCGAATGCTGGCTCAGAGTGCAAATCGAATTTGCAAAACCACTGAAAATCCAACCCATTTCAGGCCACAAACGGGAACCCCCTTGGCCTAGGTTCTCGAATTCTTTTGGGTGGGGAGAGGGGAGTGTAACTTGGTCTTTCTTGCGGTGCTGAACGGTGTTAGGTGGGAGCAGTGGTGCAGGTGCTACCTTGGGCAAGGTGCTGCTGCACAGGGCAGAGCTTTGCTCTGGAAAACTGCTTCTGAGCAAGCCACAGTGAGGCAAGCAGGAGGAGGGCCTGGGGAAAACACTGCTCTGCAGGGTGCCATGTCTCTGCTCTGCCTTCTTTCACATATAAAAATTGTGAAAATTTTGATTTGCACATAAGCTCTCCTCTGGTGCATGAGCAAGTCAAATTTGCTTGTATGCAGCCCTTTGCTGCAGTGGGCACACAACACCTGATCCCTGAAACATCTCTTTCCTTGCTGGTTATATAGGTGATCTGAACTGTATCCGTGCCCTTGGAAAGGATGCTGCAGCCATCCAACTGTTGGGGTCAATTTGCCTCAAGAGGTGAAGACATGGCCTGGAGGGCCTTTGGGTTGAAAGAGCACAAGGAAAGTAGGATTTTTCCCAGGGAAGTGCAGGATCAGAATCAAGAGGAGATACCAGATCTCCTTGCAGGGTGTCTGGTCTCTGCATGGTGTCTGTGGTGTAGTGGCTTGGCTCCTCTGCCTGGAAAGAAGGCACAGGGCAGCTGGCAGGGTGCGTGGTTTGAGAACAACATGATACCACAAGAGGAAAGAGATTTTTCAGAAAATAGCACTTAATGCCTCTTTCTTCTCCCGTCAGCTTGCCATGTGGGCGATGCAAACCATCCTCTGCCTCGGAGCAGATGTGGTAGCCAGTGGGGCACAGAGCAGTGCCCTCCGTGCCTGAGTTTGCCTGCCCAAGGAGCCTGGGCCTTGGCAGTTTGCTCAAGTGAGAGGCAGTAGTTGCTCCCACGTGTGCTCCTTTTACGTGGTAATGTGGATATGCTTAGAAACCATGTGTCTCTGTGTCTTTAAAACTTGTATTGCTTGGATTTCAAACAACTTACTACATAAATGAGCTGATGGGGTAGTAGTCTGACCTGCCTGGGATGGGCTCACAGATCCATGATTGTCAGGCTCATGCTATGGGGTATTTCTCTGCTTCCTCAGGTCGTATCTACAGCAAATGGTACCACCAATGACTGCAGCTCAAACAAAACTGTGGCCGTGACCCCCACGATGGACTCCCGGCTCTACATGGTTTCTCTGCTGCCGTTTGTGGTGCTGCTCACATTTATCCAGAACCTCAAGGTCCTGTCTATCTTCTCCATGCTGGCCAATGTGGCCATGCTTGGCAGCCTCATCGTGATCTACCAGTACATCGTCAGGGTATGTGGATGGGCCAAGGCGGGTTGATGTTTCTCTGATGTCTTGTGCTTTAGCAGTCAAGTCCCCAGTGTACCCATGGGCACAATGCATCTCCCTCTGCTTCCATGCAGCTTTCTGGGCTGGCAAGTGGCTGTGACAGGGAGCCTTGGGAATGGGCCGGGTCCCCCTCTTCCTCTTCGTGTTTTAATTGTGTGGGTTTTTTTCCAGGGCATTCCCGATCCCAGTGACCTGCCTCTAGCAGCAGCCTGGAAGACCTACCCCCTGTTTTTTGGCACTGCAATCTTTGCTTTTGAAGGCATTGGAGTGGTAAGTGTTGCCTTGTGGCTGACTGTGCAGGAGGCTGAGCCCGTGCTTGTACTTGTGGCAGCACCTGCTCTGCGCTGCAGCTGTATTTGCAGAGGAACTTCTCTGACAGTAGTCTGAATGCTGGCTGATGCTTTTCATTTCAGCCTCCAGGCAATCTTCTAGGTCAGACTTTTCCATCTGAGGCTGGAGGAGCACAGGCTCTAAACCTCAGCAGTTTGTTTGCCTCTTTGAAGATGGCTGTATCTGACCCTAAATTGGGCTCTCCTAGGAACTTCTTTGGAAGCTCTGTTTGGCTCTGCTCACTGGCCTATTCGGGAAGATTCCTGAAGTTGCCCAGTGGAAGGTCGAAAAGAAGGACAAAACGTGATCTATTCCTCCCCACCCGGCTAGGAAGGCAGAGTGATCTCCCTTTAGCAGCCACTTGGCTTCATTCTGCTACAGTGCTGAATTTGCATGTGCCTCTCATACAAGATGCTGTAAATAGATGGCTGTGTCTATGAAAAAGCTGGGTGGGTGGAGTGCTTAATGGCTCACTAAGATGTTGTGGGTTATTTCCGGGAGCTCCCTTCAAAGGTGGAAAAAATGTTTTCATCTCTTAATATAAACTGGCTGTGTAAACACAAGGATGGAGAATGCCAAATCCATTATACTGAGGCATATTTACAGAACGCTCTGCCCAGCACTGAAAGCTCCCGCAAGCAGTAAGGCACAAAAACTCTCTTCTTAGCGCAGTTTGGAGGTGAGGAAGCAAATAAAAGTTCTTCTGATTCCGGCCCTTCAAGAGCTTCTCTGCTTTGTCCCTCCTTGAGATCCCTGTCACCCGAGATTGCTTTTAAAGTTGTTTGCTGAAATCCTGTATTTGAAAGTAAGTGCTAATAGTGCAGAGGTGAGGGACTTGTCTCTGTCCCTCCCTTTTTTATTGTCTGCCTGACTGAAATCTCTTCAAACCAACTTGATGGGAGAGGAGAGATTCTGCAGCATCTTCTGGGGGGAATGCAGGGGCTCGTGCCAGGCTTGTCGCAGAGGCCATTGCTGGGCTGCTTCAGGGCACAGAGCTTGAGGCAGGTGAGGTACAGGCTGCATCTCCCCAAAAGTCAGACTCACTGATAAGTTCAGTCTTGTGCCATGGAGAGAGATATGGTCCATTTTTTTAAGGCAAAAGCATGAATTTGCCCTGCTGAGGACTTGCTACGTGAAGTCTGTAGGTCTCAAATTCGAGTGCTAGAAGTGAGGTCCCCAGTATAGCAACTTTTTGCACTCTGTATGGCCAGGGGGTCTCTGGACAACGCGTGTGACCATCCTGTCTGCTGCATCTCTGTGTGTGGGGCTGCAGTGGGGAAGCTGTGCCTTGATCTGGACTTTCCATGCTGGCCACTGC